TATCAGGGTGGGCGCAGGAGGCATCTCATTTCAGAGGGTAGGTGTCATGACAGAGAAGGTATGCTTCCGGGTCCCAATAGATAACATTGTGTAATTGAAGGGACCTAGAGTGTGCCAACCCCACCCTGTTGGCTCATATTGGCTGGGCAGAAACCACAGGAGATAGGTGGTCCCTCAGATAACCAGGTCGTATGCCATGTAGGGCTTTATCAGTCATAACCAGCATTTTGAACACACCTAGAAGCAAACTGGTAACCAGTGCAACTCATGCAGCAGGGGTGTCATATGAGCATGCCCATCATTGTCTGCACTGCTACGTTCTGTTATAGGATATCCCTTTCCTGTCAGTTCCATCTCCAACAACTAAGTCCCTAGAAAATGGACTTGACAGTCCCACTCTAAGTAGGAGGAAAGGAAAATTAAATGAGAAACCAGGCTATCAAAGAATTGATGTGCAAGTTATTTTACTGTGTTATGCTAATTGTTATACATTGTTTTCCATTCCATATGTTTTACCAGTTGCAAGTTTGTTGTGAAATATACAATAAAGGAGGAATTGAATCACACTCAGCTAATTCATGCAACCTCATGGGATAGAGAGGAGGCTTAAATCCTGCCTTCTGTCTAGAATTAGCTAGCTAGTAGAATTAACCAATTTCTTACCTTTCCCTTGTTTTTTATTCTATCAGGTTATTGTATTATTTCCTTAGTTACAAAGAATGTAATGTATACAGCTGAAGTCCTGTAACAGAGCAGAGTGTCCTCGCAGACAGGAAGTATTTTTGTCCCTACCTTCTTACTGGTAGAAGGGTCAACTCACTCCTGTGTGGTCCATTATCTAGTGATTAGCAATTAAATCTAATGACTGGTCTGTGCTTCAACACTTCTTTTTGTTCTTGTTTTTGAGGTAAAAGAAAATCGCTTGAGACGGCAGAAGGAGCTTGAATTTCTAAAACAAGAAAAGGCCTTGAAAAAGTTTGCAGTATCAGAGGCTCAAAAGCAATTGCAAGAGGAGAACAAGAGGAAAGCTCTGAAAGCCAAGAAAGAAGAAGAAAAAATCCAAAAACAGATGGTAATACTGCGGAAGGAGTTGGTAGAGAAAAGACATCTCATGGAAGAAGCACGGAAAATGTAAGCTTTGGAGAACAAGAACATGGAAAACGAGTTCATTCTAGATCCTAAAACATAGTCCAAAGAACCATGATAGAGCACTGCAACAAAGTAGATGAAAAATCACCTAAAATCTTTTTGAGTTTTAAGGGAGTGAGGGAGGATATAAATATAAGACAACTTAGGATCTCATCTCCAAAGATGCTATGGAGATTGATTAGCTTCCAAGTACAATTAAATTTATGTCAGATTTGTAGACATGGAAGAAACTGGCACGTCTTTTCCAAACCATCTCTATTTACTTTTCAGAACAACTGACTAAGTTGGTGCCATGTTGTATGAACTGTACAAATTAAATCAGAAGTCAAACTGTTTTTCATGGGTATTCCTATTTGATTACAATTGCTTCTACAAATTGTCAGCTTTTATAATACTATATAACATTAAGATGATTGACAATATCTATAGTTGCCTCTTTAGGACGCTATGGGAGCCTACTAAGACAGTTTTTCTTTTATGCCCCTATATTTATTTATTTATTTACATTTCAAATTTAGACACCACCCATCTCACAAGGAAGTGACTGGGCAGTTTACAATAAAAACAGCAAATAAATATTAGTTAAAATAGAATAAAAATAGTATGAAGATCCAATAAAACATACACAAATAGTAATCTTCCAAGATGCTGGTGATTGAAAAGACTAACATATGGGAGCATCTTCAAGGTGCTAGCCACCCCCAGGCTTGGATGCCCCTTTTCTCACCCCGTGCCATTTAGCAGAGCCATCTTGACTGCTGGAAGGTCACGAGAGTAGGGGTCTGCCTCACCTCTGGGGGAAGGGTATTCCATAGGGTGGGGGCCACAGCAGAGAAGGCTCTCCTTCTGACCCCCACCAGTTGACATTCTTTCATCGACAGGGTCCGCAGCATACCCTCTCTGTTTGACCAGGTGGGATGGGTCAATATAATAGGGGTGAGATGGTCCCTCAGGTAACTTTAACTGTAACTGTTCTTTAAGTGCCAGTATTTACGTTTACTCCTTAACAGCTGCATTATAAACATATATTGTGTAATACCAGGTTATGAAATGGAGAACATAGCAATAACTAAATGTATTATAACAGTGCTATAAAGCTTGCTCAGCTTCTTTCTATACTGTTTTTTCTAACCCCTCACATACTGTCTTACTTTCAGGGAAAGGAAGAGACACAATTTAAAAAAAATTCAGAGTCTGATAGAAGTTAGCCTGCCTCCTGCTGGGCTTATCTATCTGGATTGTGACAATGAAAGACAAAAGAAGGAGAAACAAGCCAAAAAGCAGGAGTTGCTGAGCAAGATCAACATTGCTGATCAGAAGGTAAGGGCATTCATGATCTTGGCTTCAGCACTTGGAGATGGATTGTTGCTTTAGCTAGAATTGTGGGCAATTCTCACTAAACAAAGAACCTCAAGATCTTGCTGGGGTTAAAATAACCTGATGGGTAAATGTATAGATTTGAGGTTGAAATTAGCAAGAGTACAGATTATAGCAAGTAGGAGCTCGTTCTGATGAGCAGTTGGATGGCAAAAACTGGAACATGCTGTGAAAACTGCTTGATGAGTAAGCTTAAATCTGAGAATGTAACACAACATTATGTTAGCATAGGTTTTCTTAAAAACTACTCTTTTCTTCAATTAAGCAAGAAAATTAAGAGAGTCATTTATGCACTTGCCAAAATGCACTATGTTTGAGTATGATCTCATGTTGTAAACTGCTATGCATGTTTATGTCACTTAAGTGTGCACTTGAAGACAAGAATATAGTAGTAAATGGGAAACAATAGTCTGCTGTTGCTATGCAACATGTACTTACCTTTATTAGTCACATAGAAGTTACTAATGAATAGCCATGCATAGGATTGTAGTATAATTGCTATTTGAACAGTTATGCTTGTCTGTTTTAACTTATTTTGATTCAACTAAATACAAATTCATACTAACTGGTATTTTATATGCATGTCTTAAGTGGCCCTTGCATAAGTATGTCTGTGGGTAATATTTGTTTAAGCAATTTTGCTTTTTCATAAGATATGGAGGTGTATGAGTGATCAGCTAAAATAAATAAGCAAGTTTTAGGTCAAAGGTCAGAAGTCAACAATCTCTTCAAGCACTTGGTGCCTCCCAAAATAAAGATAAATCTGAAAAATCTTACAAAAGTTCATGCAAGAATGTTGAGCTCTCATATGAGAATGGTGTGATTTCAGCCATTTTTTAAAAATTAAATTAATATTTAATTTGAGGGGATTTGTGGATGATTCTAGGGATGCCACACATGCCTTAACACCTGAGAGCAATACATCCTGGATCCTTTGCTGAGATGAAATTCAGGTTCTCATTTAAAATTTTTAGTTTTGTGATCATTCCATTATGATGGCAATACATATGAAATAGTATTAGAATATTAAAGTTAACTGAAGAAGTAGGCAATTAATATTTTCTAAAAAAATGAATATTCTTATTTTGGGTTTTTTTAAAATGAGAACTTAACCACATACGAGTTTGGGGGGGAAATGAGTTCTCTTTACTTGTATATGTCTATATTTTAAAAATACCCATTTCTACTCTTTCAGGATTAGCAGCATTATGAAAAGCACAGAAAAAGAAAATAGTGGTAGTAAACAAAAGAAATTAAAGGCAAGAGATAAAAGAAAACCTAACTATCTAGATTGCACCAATACCATTTACTATACTTCTTCATATCTTTCAAGTCTTATGTTTTTATACTGCTTCATATATATACTTCTTACATCTTTCATTTTGAGGATATCAACTTCATCCTTTCATGACTTTCTAAAGTCTGTTCTTCAACCTTCCTATATTTGTTTTTTATATATGCACATCTCTATATATCAGTCTTCATTCATTCTCTCCACATGACCTAACTAGTATATTTCTTTCATACTTTTCTATTCATTCTGACATATCCAACATTCACTTCCGTGTAACAAGTCATTACAATTTATGAAGGGCATATAATAGCCAATGAACACTGAAGGCATTTAGTGCAGTTCTCCAAAATTTTACATGATCAGAAACGTAAATATGATACAATGGAATATCGTTACTTGATTCTCAATGTAGTGCCTACGGAAGTATTTCTCTGCCTGGCACAAGCTTATTCTGGATCTCAGAATTAAGATGGGAAAAGCAAGAGCCCTTGCTGACTGGAAGTGCCAGCTGAAGGTTTTGCAAGCCTGGAAAGGTTATTCCTGGTCTCGCAAACTGGAGAAGGAGACTCAAAAAATGGAAAATCAGCTTCGGGATCAAAATAGGTAGCAACATTAACACAATTCCTTCCTGTAAAGTTGAAAGTTATGTTTAGTTTAATTATTTTGATTTTTGTTTGTTTATTGGAGTGCCTTTAAAAAAGAAAATACAAGAAGATGCATCTCAAAGGCAATTATAATGGTATATTTTCAAACTTTTCACCCAGTCTATTGCATTTCACTGTTTTATGAAGAAGTCAGCTATATTAGCACTCATTAATATATAATTAATGCCATCAGTATGCAAGATGTTTTCAGAATGCAGAAGGACAAATTGCAGTTTCAAAAATGTACAACTTAAAATCTGATACGGAAGAAACAGTAAAGGAAAAGACTATATGCCACTTCAATTATATGTACTTAAGACTGGTTCGTTATAGGTGTAAATTCTATTTTAAACATGATAAAACTTAAGAGGTTACTGCATTTTACTGTGCTAGTTACATAAACTCATAAGGGGCAGTATAGCTGGTAGAACTAATATTGTGAATATTAAAGGTTGTCAAAGCTTTCTCCTCCCTTCCCCCCCCCCCCCACTCCCCATCTTTACTTCTTGGCCCTTGCAACATGAGCACGACCCTAGAGTTTTGATGATCCTGGATGAATCTATATTATTTCATTGAGTTCCAAGAAATTGCATTAGGAATCAATTAGCCTAATGCAAGGCAAAGCAAAGTGCATCTGTTCTGTCCCATTGAGCATGCTCCATCATGGCCACAGTCATTATTGAGAAAAAACCTTGTTAGACAAGATATTTCAAAAGGCTTGTGAAAGGCCTAACCGTTTCCCTTAGAAATATGGTGATATGGCTCTTACTAACAGCAATTACTTTATGCTTGACCCATATTTTTGGAAATATAGTGCAAACTACAACAAGCAGAACAATAAATATCGAAATAAGTTATGATTCTTCTTAAATAATTGAAAATATACTACGTATAAAAATACACTATACTTTTTGGTCTTGAGGCTGCGTTTTGTTTTAATTTCCTGCCAGGGACTGCAGAAGCCATGGCTGATGATGTCAGGGTAGTTTGAAGGACGGAAAGGTTTAGCCTGTTTGGGTGGAGGTGGAGACCAAAGGAATACAAGACTTAAGGCACCCACTTGGCCTATTAAGCTCCAAGAACACATTTTTTTCTGTAAACAAGTCAGCTTTGCCTACTGCAGGGGATCTGGGGCCTGCAAATAGGGTACTAGAAGTCCACATCTAATTGTGAGCAATGCATGTCCAACTCTTTTATAAATAAATAAATCTCACAGTTCTGTTGTGGACTCTAAAGCTAATTTTAACAAATATCTTAATAATTTAGGAAAAAACAGTTGGCTATAGAATTTAACCGGAAATGCATTTTGCGCCATTTCTTTGCTGAATGGCAATGCTGGAGCCAATCAGAGGTGGAAAAGAGAGTTCTAGAGGCAAAAAAAGAAAAAACCAGAAGGAAAATGGCAAAGCTCTTGGAAGAAGTATCACTGGGGCTACTAACATCAGATTTCTCAAGACCTACCGAGAAAATCTATGAGACAGAAGTTACCCAGGATAAACCTGAAAGTAATACAGAGGTAAATCATATTCTTCTCCCATTTTGTTATGTGTTATGTATTCATCTGTTAATTACTCCAAATCCATGTGTTTGAAATAAAATAGAGGTAGATTGACTGTCCTGGACCAAATTTAGAACTACATAGGCAAAAATGAAACTCAGCTGAAGGTTATTTTGATGGATGACATATTCAGGGTTAGTTCATCTCCCCGACTCCTTTCTTATATTGAGTAATTTTTTATTAAAACCAACTGTTTGCTATTTTTTTTACCTACATAACCATAAAATACTCAGATAACTATACTAATGTACCTACCTAGAAACCACAGCTGCAGCTATTGAACAATCTTAATTTATTCTTAAAAGTCAACAGGAGATAATGGGGATATATTTGGCTTTTTTTTTTTCAAAATGGGAAAAGATTTCCAGCATGGCAGAATAAACTGATTATAATGTGAAGAGGTCTTACATATGGTGCATCAGGATGCTTTAGAGAGAGCATAGAACTCTATGGAACATAATTGTTGGGAAGTTGGAGGTGCTCAAGAACAACATAGAACAAACAATTGTGCTTTTTTTTCTTCTGTTGCCCAGTATGGGTCCCTCTATTGGTCAAATGGCTAGATTACTTCCTGGGTAAACAGATGATGCTAGTGCCACATATTCCCCCTGTCCAAAATGTCTCTTCTCCAAAATCTTAGGATCCAAAATCTGGTGATAAAGAACTAGAGCCAAGTGAAGACCTTTCTGTATGTTGGCAAAAGGACAGCTTTGTGTATAGAGGGATATGGAAGAGCAGAGCCTAATTGCGGGCTATAAGGAGCAGATCTGTAGGGCAGAGCTTTTCTGTCCCTGTTTTAGGCTGATCATCTTTCAGGATCCTAAATTTTCTTCCAGTTTATAGATTTTATTTCATTGGTTTCCAGTAGAGAAAGGATGGAAGAAATTGTATTCTAGAAAGCAGGGGACAAAATAGGATTTCTGCAGCAGGGTAATTCTAGCATTATTCTAGCATTCTAAGAAGTCATTACTGAAGGAATCATGGTCTCATAAAATGTTTGTGGAAATTGATTTATTTATAATTGGGTTTTTTTCTTCCCATTTCAGTTGACTGAAGTACCCTTTGTTCAGAATGACCCCACAATTGCAAAATTTGAAAGAGCAAATTCCTACTCTCCAGGGACAAGTAGGAAATGCAATCTCCGTTCACCAAGTCAACCAAAATGGGCATGGCAAGTCACCAGGAAACATGCTGCTTTGAATGTTCAGGACCATGCCAGGTTTGGGAACCAAACAAAGCATATCCTGCAGCATCTTGGTCCTTCGAAACAAAAAAAATCCCCTGCTGTTTTGAACCCCCTGGAACAGCGACATCTGATTGAAGAACAGCAGCGACAGCTTCAAGAGCAGCAAGAGCTGATCCATAAACTTCAGGGAACTCGGGGGCTACACACTGCTTGGGAGGAGGCTGAGCAAACCACAACTGCTACTGTGACACTTAACATTCACACTCCAGAAATTAAGGAAGAAAAGCAGTTGAGAGAAAATCAATCAAATTCCAAGAATACTAAACCTGTAAGGTATAATAATAACATCACTGGGATTCTGCTATCTAATAGCTACAGAGCATCTGGTTGAAGCAGAACACTTCAAGGCAGAACTATGTTTTTAATCATCGTTAATAACTCAGTATTAAATATGATACAGGTTGAATACTCTCTGATCCTTTCGTATTAATTGACTAATTTTAGTTAATCATTTATTTCTGTAGTTTTAATAATAATAAAAACAACAATAGTAGTAGTAATACAGTTACTATCCCAAAGAACTTGCAGTCCAAAATAGTTACAGGAAAACAATAGAAATCAGCAGAGGAATACTGTATTTTTACTTTAGTTGCATGTGACTTGCTGCCGTACAGTAAAACAAAGAAGGGTGTTTTTCATTTTTATTTCTACCACCCAAAAGTGTAGCTGAGAAATAAGATGTCTGTTGTCATGCAAGGGACATTTTTCTTATGATTAGTAAAAAAAAGGGGGGGGAGGGGGTAGAGGGAATAAATACATTAACAAAATCATACAATTATGAAGTTCGTAGGTTTTTTTGCAACAGAATTTGGTTTATCCAGATATAGAATTTTTTTTTAATGTGTTTCAGAGACCGGTTATCTTAAAATGCTTTCATTTTTAAATTTTTGTAGCATAGCTGTTAATTTAAATTGTCATGATTTAATTTAGCAAAAAAGACTGAAAAGGAAATATAACATTGTACATACTATAAAGTTGTAAAAAATACGGGGTTACAAAGTATAGCAGAAGAGACAATGAATTCGTATATAGTCATATAGGACTGTGTAGAACAGTGGAACAAAATAACAAAAGTTAGGATTAAGTCTTGGAATCATCTCTTTTAGAGGTTGGAAAATAATTTTCTGCATGTATAGAATAAGAACTACTGTAGTCATTCCAGTCATTTTAGGTTGGATTTCATAGCTTCATACAGTGCAGCAGAAGGCAGAGATCTAATAAGCGATCTTGTCCAACCTGTTGCTGAGAACAACAAACCACTAAACTATCCCTAACAGATGGCTATCCAACCTCCAGAGTGGGCAGGTCCACTTACTGTGGGCAGACTGCTTCACTTACAATTTTTACTGCCAGAAGATTCCTCTTAATATATAGTCTGAATCTCCTTTCTTTTAATTTCAACTGGTCCTGCCCTTAATTTTAACAGAGAACTCCTCTTGCATGATATGACAGACTTTCAGAAATTTATAGACTATTTCTCCCCCTCAGTCTTCTCTATTGCAAGCTAAACAGGCATAGATTCTTTAACAGCCCTTCTAAGGCTTAGTTTCCTGAGCCTATCTAGGATAGGATCAGGAAACCAAGCCTTATAAGGGTCAGTTGTATTTGGTAAATATTCAGACTTGTCAAGGTCATTTTGAATCTCATGCTTTTGTCTATAAACTATGTTATTCACAGAACCTTTTTTTTTCTATTTGAAGTATTTGCTTTCTAGAATGTTAATCCAAAACCTAAGACCTTTCTCTTCTATGTCATTTTTTTCTTTCCTCTCTCCCACACTTTGTTTATTTAGGTCAGAAAATCAGCAGCCAGTCACTCAAAGGAGAAGGATTTTGAAAGTGCTAGTCACACCACATCCCTTGCTCAAAGGTATATCCCTAAGCTTCTGGAGTCTTTCCTGGATGGTTATGGGAAACTTTAGTAAAATATGAGATTGTTATAATATAAATATGCATGCTGCTTATAGAAGAAAGCACAGGAATTGTCAAACTTATGAAATGTTTAATAAATTTTCTGTTGGGCTTCTTGGCAAACTTTTTCAACTCCTATATGTGAATTATTTCAAACCATAAATTGTGTAGTTTTCTTTGAATTACAACAATTCAGGGCTTTTTTTCCCCTTTCTTTCCTGGAGACCTTGTTGAATAACATCTTAACTGGACCGGGTGAGGTCACTAGCATTGTGACAGTATAAAATGATTCATACACTTTATCTGACCACTAACAAATAATGCCAGTGTATTTCAACCAATCTCAGAAAGACTGGAACAAGTATGGCAAGAAATAATAGTAGATATACATACATATTACTTCCTGAAAAGATACACTCAAACATGTTTAAATCTTTTGTTTAATTAAGTTGATGTGTGGTCAGAATCACATTACAATACATGTAATGTGCGTTGTATTAAAAATTGTATCTCTTAATGTTCTATATTGTACTCTCAGTATTCTTTGTTGTTTGTATTAAATTAGTTATTGTCTATACCACATAAGACTAGAGGAAAATATTCTGCATGGCTGGATATGAAGCATGGCATAAACGTATCTTAACTGATAAGAAAGCTGTCTTAAAATACTGGTGGTAGTCAAGAAGAAGCAAAAACAAATGTTGTGGATGCTGGACTTCTAGAAGAATCCTTAAATGTATGGTTACAAGATACTATATGCAGTCTAGAGGTTCCCCACCTATAACTATAGTATCTAGGATCTCTTTAAAATATTTCAGACTTATCTGCCAGTCTCAGAATCATCTCATATTTTGTCCCCTGAAATACAAGAATCAGTTTGAACTACTCGCTAGAATGTTAGAATAATAGAAATATAATTAGAAGGTGTAACTAGGAGAAAAAAATTACAGTGAAACATAAAATAGTATCTAATAATTAAGTGGAAGACTGCAACACTTAATACTGAATTCCTGAAGTAGAAATTCTTAATTATACTGTGATTAATATTCCATGGTGTTCCCTCTTCCATTCAAAATTATTTACATTTTTTTTTTATAAAACATAAATTACACACTCTTCTTTTTTTGCAAGGTTCTTAGTGGTGAAATTGATTTAAATTATTCTCTTGATTAAATCTTTCCTAGTTATCACCTCTTGAATCTGGTGTAACCAATAGCTTCCACCAGAACCATAAAGGTTGCAAACTGAATAAATTTCAGAGTAAAAACTGACAAAAACTGAATATTCATTGGGAGGAATTAGTGTTATTAGATTTTATTTTCTTGGAGAGAGTGTTGGAAGCCACTAGCCACTAGCTGTAGTCCCAGCAAGTATATTAGCACTTTACACATTCAAAAGTAATATTAAACTGACTACTTAACATTGTGTAGTGTTCTACCTTAGACAGTTTGCCAGCAACATGAGAGAATATTGAGCTAGATGAACAATGTGGCAATATTTAATTTGGTATTGATCAATCAAAAAATTTAAAGCAGAACTCTGCATTCTTCAGGTCTCAAAGCTTAACTTATCCTCATCTTTGTGTACCTTTTCATGAATGTTTTAGCTATGGAAGAGAGAGCTGTTCAGCGAGCAGAACGGAGGAGGCAATTGGAAGAAGCAAAGATAAAGCGAGAAGAGGAGAAACTGGCAAGTAAAACTAACTTCTAGCTTAAACATCCATGCAGACAGACAAATACCAAAAGGCCCAATATAATTTTTAAAATGTGAACATGAAATTTGATTTTATTAACCTATTATTTATTTATTAATCAAATTTCTATGGCCACCATCTATCCACAGAAACTAAGCAGCAAACAGAAAACAAATTACAAACCATTAAAAACCAAAATAAAACTGCAGTTGAGGCCCCTGTAAAAATATCAGTCTCCCCTTATAAACTACATACACATGCCAGAGCTCCAATAAATTAACCCCCTGGCCCCTGAAGTTGGTATACCTTAATAATATAAAAATAAAATCTTAACTGAACAGATAATAAGTTTTATAGTTATAGTTATAATGCTGGTTACTTGTTTTTGTTTATTCACAACATCTTATAAGAAAAAACCTGCTTTGAAATGTGTATCCTGACTAATAACTGCTGGTCCACCATTCCTGAAAATGATTCTGAATAAAAGATTATTTTTTATCCCCTTTGTGCATAACAACACATACAACAGATATGTATCATTATTTAGGTGGGCATCTGCTTTGGAACTTCTGTATTTCTTTGGGACAGGGGTTTAAATATAATGGGTTTAGCTTGTCTTGTCCTCCTATCCCATCTTAAGGCTGAGATGCAAGCCAAAGAAGAAGAACGTCAGAGGCAAGAAGCAGCAGAAAAAGAGGCTAAATTAGAGAAGAGGCGAGAGGAGAAGAGATTGCAGCAAATGGTGAATGGAATATTGTGCTTACATCTGTCTCACAGATCTATTACCGACAGAACACTAGTTTAAACTGGCTTTTGAATATGACTTTGCAATGGCACCAGTCTAATCCAGCAAAAGCTGCTCAGGGGAAAAAAATCATTACTTTCACTTCTCTTTCATGAAAATTATTTTAGACACCCCTATATCAAAGCTGTACTAACAGCTGTAATATAAAGCAGTATCCACAGCCCTGTGTTCTAGAAGTAAGCTAGCCTGGCATTATTACTCAGATGATACAAAGCTTCTGAGTGGTTTTGATGTTAGACTGAGTTCATTGTTGGTGGCAGATTGGGAGGAATGTTTGGGCAGTATGCCCTCAGATGGACCTCCTGATGCATGAACGGGTGACTTCCTCACCACTGTCATTTGATGCCCTTGCTGTCTCAATCTTACCCTGTCTAGAAGGAAAGGGCAAAGCAAGTGAAAGCTGCTGCTACTGCTTTTTTTTTAAGTCTTTTTTAAGCTGACAGGAGTAGATAGTAGATAGATAGAGGAAGCAACAACAAGAGGTGGAAACAAAGCCTGGGAGCCCTGAGGCTCAAAATGCTGATGCCTGAGGTTTTGCAGCTTCCCAAACATGATATTCATGAAACCGCAGAGGTCATGCTGTGCGCGCAGTCCCTAACAGAAAAAAAAAATGATGGTCCATTCAAAATAATGCAGACTGGCATGAAGGAGATGCTTTCGGCAGTGACGTTTGGAGCCAGGTAGATGACCATGACATTAGCAATATCTCCATTTCCCACAGTTCATAAAGAAGACAACAATGAGCACCTGAGTAATGGTATGCTTGTTTGTCCGTTATATTAATATTCTTAATGAACTGTACAAATCCTCTAAACTATGCTCTTCTGATTTATTAATTACAGAAAGAACTGGAAAAACAGAGAAGGCTTGAGAGAGAACAGCAACTTTTATCCAAAGCTGAAGACCATTATATTAAGGTTCTGCTCAAGAAGCAGGGGTTAGAACCCTGGAAAAGACTTATAGAACAATCTGAAGAAAATATGGTGGTAAGAACTAGAGTAAAAATGGGCATCTTGAAAAAAAAAAGTTGTGAAGATGAATCCTCTGCTGTTTTCCAGTGTGTGAACTGTTGCAGAGTGAAAGGCTTTTTTTCATCAAACCAAGGTTTCTCTGTTTCACTTGATCCAGCATGGGCCAACCCAGCAGGAAGCAACCCCTCCCTATGTCTAGTTTATACACCCTTGATGGTCAAGGCTTTAAAAAAATCCTTTGTTTCCAACAAAACATCTAAAGACCAGCTTAAAAGAAAGGGGAAAATGTAATAGCAATACAGAAATAATTAGTATTACAGTTAGAGTCTCCAAACTTTTTGGGTCAATAGGCAAATGTCAGACTGTGAGAGCACGTTGTGGACATTTGCAGAAAGGTTTATAGGGGGTGATTATTTCAAAAATAGGTGCTATAGAGCTCATTTATTAACATTTAAGTTGGTGTTTAAATGAATATTTTACTTAATGCTGTTTTGAGCTGTTTTTTTAATATCTGAACTTTCTGAATTAAATGTAAGAAATAATCGCTCTCAGCACTCACATGCCCACATATCAAGTATACGTATGAACCCCTCAGTTCTAGACATATTTCCAGCTAAAATAAGTGAAGATGTAATTGTGCTGTCAGACTACAAAGTTGAAATGAAATGAAAAATGAAAAAATGTGCTTGCCATGGGAACTTATGTGCCTTGATCATAATAAAAAGGCCTGGTCAGTGGTGTTTCAATGACAAATTAGTTACAGGGGCTTCCTTGCATCCGTTTGTATGAGTAACCATGTCTTGTCTTGTTCTGTGAATTTAGATTGCACAAAGGCATCACTGTACCAGGTTGCAGCAGAAGTGTCTTCTCGCATGGCTTCATCATATGCAAGAGATCCTTTCTAGGAAAATAGCTCAGGCTGAGGAGCTTTATTTCTGTCAATTGCTTAGAAGGTCCTTCAGGAGCTGGATAAAGGTGAGCAAGAGGAAGGGCTTTAAAAAAAAAAAAAGTAATTGTAGGCATTTTCTAAGAGAATCTAGTCTAATCTAGACTGAAGGCCAGTAACTTGGAGTAATGAATAGATTAAAATGAGTCTGACCAACCTTCAGGATTTCCCCCAATTCTTGTAACTCTGATGATGATAATATGATGATATAGTGCTGCACTTATTCTGGGCTGTAACCATGAAGTCTCTTTTCTTACTTATCTATCTACTGCATTGACATGGTACCTAATTGCATTCTGTAGATAGACACTATGCAAGAATGTGGGATATTAAAGGTCTCAACAGGCTGTCATGGGACAAAGGTTATTGAAAGTTTGTGTAGGGTGGAGCGGGAGGGAACGTAGAACAGTGTTTCTTAAATTGTGTTCCTTGAAACACTAGTATTCCTTGAATAACCTGAAGATGCACAGCAGATGGAAGACAAATCCATTACTGCAAGGTTTTTGGATGAAAGTGAAAGTTCACAAAGAATGTGAGCTTTCAGGTGGAAAGACATTGAGGGTCTTACTATATTTTCCTTCTTTGTGAAAATGGATTTTCAGCAGTCACTACAGTTGGTCAAGACCAAATATTGAATCAAGCTGAGCATTTACATCAACATTATGCTATTCGTTTAACAATTCTCATTCCAGATGTTAATTAAATATACAGGTAGTCTTTGATTAACAGCAGCAATTGGGATCGGAATTACTGTTGCTATGCAACACGTTTGTAGTGCATGCAGTCCCTGTTGCTGCCGTTAAGCAAGGGTCGCATAGGTCATTAAGCAAGAACCTTACATGACCACGACTTCTGACTTCCTGCTGGCTTCCCCATTGACTTTGCTTGTGGAAAGCTGGCAGGGAAGGTTGCAAATTGTGATCATGTGACTGGAGGACGCTGCAATCTCATAATCGCAAGCTGGGTGCCAGGAGCCCAGATCATGATCACATGACTGTGGGGAAACTGCGACAGGCGGAACTCCAAGGACTGGTTGTAATTAGCACTCATTCAGTGCTGTCATAAGTTTAAACAGTCGCTGACTGAGTGATTGTTAAACAAGGACCCCCTGTACTGACATGCAGACTCATATATCCCATTAAGATTTATAATCAGTGTATTGAGTATAAAAGAATATGAAACAAGTTCTAATAATATTCTTTATTTAAATATTCATTTTTTTCAGTGGCGGGAGAACAATCCTAGTTCCTCCCCTCCTCAAAAAAAGCATTGTCTTGGAAAGTTTTAAGAGATGCTAGTGTAAAGGATTTTTATATGTTGTACCACATGCTGAATTGTACATTCACAATGTATATTCACGATTGTACATAGTTGAGGGAGCGTTTTTTCCTCTGACACATGCACCAAAATATTTGCTTCATCTACCTGGTTGTGTTGTTGTATTGCTGTGTAAAATATAGACATAATTGAATGATACCTTTTTCCTTTCCTTGGGCTTCTTTCCCAGTATAGGGATTATATACTTACTCTGGAAGAGAGTGCAAGCAAAGTCCATGAAACCGCCCTAAAGAAGAAGTTATTTGGGGCTTGGCTTGATTTGGTGAATGAGGAGAAAAGTACATTGTGGGAAAAACAAAAGACTGCAGATCAATACTACAATAGGTAAACATGAATATACTAAATGTGCTTTCACTTAGATTGTATTTATTGCAAGAACTATGCAGTATGTTCCTTGTTCTTTATGTTCTTTGGAATCATCTGAACATTGTGTATGTGTATGCATGTATGTGTATTTTAATGCTTCTGTATCCTGGGAAACAAGATGCAAATCATGTTACTATGATATGTAATTTAGATGCAACTTATCACTTCATGTGGTAAGCCATCCAGAGAATAATGTAACTATACCACTAAATAGAATGAGCCATACCAGATAGAGAAAATCTGGTTATCTTCCCTCCATCACTCTAGTAATGTTCTGAGGTTCTTGGCTGTTACTACTTGCTGTTCTGCCCATCTTTTGCTCTACAGAAAGTTGATACTCCTAGCAATGCAGTGTTATTCAAAGGTATCTATTGAATTCAGTGCTTTTGTTAAATTTTAACTTCTGCATAACACAATGTGGAAGTGCATCTCTACTATACATTTATTCTCATTATCATTTGATACATACACTGAGAATCACCAGCCATTGCATAAATTTGGCAGAGAAAATAATGAAACCATTCCCATGGTGGGGAAGAATTAAGTTTTAGTAACTGAAGTCCAGTCCATTTTATGTATCAAAACTTCATCAGGAAACTCTACATTCATTTATCATAATAGAGAAAAAATTCTGAGCAACAGTCTTCATACAGTGGGGCAAAAAAGTATTTAGTCAGCCACCAATTGTGCAAGTTCTCCCACT